TAACTGACAGCTCTTCAAATTTTTGAAAAGAAAGCTGTAGCTAAAACTAATTTAAATTTATTTACAATTTACAAGATACTGAGAATAATTGACCAGATCAAGTTATCAAATATCAAGTTAAAAGTGATTTAATTGCATATTTTTTGGTGGAAAAGCAAAAACAAAACGGATACTCAAAACATAACCCCGAATTCATATCACGTTTTGAAATTGTATCCATAACTTGTCTCAGTTTGTGTTCAGTGTTTCCCGATTGAATTTACTCTAATTTGAATAACTGCTTTTCTTAAAAGTCGCAATTAAATTTTCAACTGCTTTATTCGATGGTCACACAAATATCTGTTTTCCCGCAGTATTTAGGTCCGTTCTGTGTTTTCGTTTTTCAAGATCTTAAGCCACTTCAACTTATTAGCTCTTTCAACCTTTCTGTGTAATCAAAGATTTTGTTATAGATTTTAGACGTTTTTTCGGTCTCCTGTAGACACGGAAAATGGAAATTACGAAACTTTCAAGCCAATTTCATTATTTTAGAGTTTTCAGTGTTTCGTAGTTTTTTTTTGTTTTTTATCTTCATGTTGATTAAAGTAATTTTTCATTAATATTTCGGTCAAACTGACCATTAAAATTTGCCTAAGTAGAAGTGGCGGCCGCCGCACTTGACGAATTTTCCTTTCTTCGAGATTCAGCATAAAGCATGCGTTTTTGAAGGAAATCGTTCATCGCAGCAAACAGTTAAGCTACGCTGCCAAAATCTTGTGCTTTCCTATGCGCGATATAGTTTGGTTGCATTAGGTTCAATTGGTTGCATATAATAGGTATATAATGTTTTTTTACATGTAAACAAGCCAATACCCCCAAATTTTGGAAGGGAAAACATGCAAAACTTTATTCTATTCCCGTTTCCATAAAGTGGCTAGAAAATTAGCAAATTTAACCACTTAAAACGTGTGTGCCCGAAAAAATAGGAGTTTCAACCCCTTTGGGGGTTAAAAGTGGTCAATGCAACGGCACAACGAAAAATAGGGGTGGTTGAAACTCCCCAAACTTTAGAAGGGAAAACAAGGACCAACCAAAACTTAATTACATTCCCGATTCCATAAAGAAAGAAATTCGTGAAATTGCACGTACATCCCGAGTACAAGTCGTACTTAAACAGAAAGTGTTACAATGAGCTTACTTATCACACAATTTTGAAAATCTTACTAGAAAAATATCATTACTTCTTTCAATACCTTGCTGATATTTTCATCCGGTGACATTTAAGATTAAAGATTTAAACATTTCATTGTTTTCGGCACGAATTTTGTGGTGAATAATTATTTCATTTTTCAAATATTCTAATAATTCATAATGATGCCAAAATAGGGCCGACTATAAACGCCTCTATTAGCGATTGCATTACCCAATGATTTGGTTCATGTTTTCTTTTTAGTTTCCTATTTGAAAGTCAAAACCTTTATTCTGTTTACCCTTAGGCAATTACCCAACCAATTGATTAGATTGTAAATTGCTAGCATTTCTAATTTGAGTTACTAATTGAGCAGGTATTTTAAAATTTGATTGCAAAAGAAACTATCTCTATGCAGAGCAAAATGAATTGTTGTGATTGCAAACCTATCTTTGGGCAACAAAAAGTGACAGCGAAACTTGGCAAAATCAACAAACCCATTAGAGAATACCACCAACAGAAAAAAAAACAGGAAACATTTGTAAAAAGTATCTCCAGAGAAGTTGCAGAAAACAAGAACAAGCTAAACTAAGAAATAACAGATTTGAAATAACAGGATATAAGTTTACAACTGCTTTATTCGATGGTCACTCTGTTTTGTGGTATAGATTGACACAAAAATATCTGTTGTCCCCCATTATTTAGGTCCGTTTTGATGTTTTCAAAAACTCTGTTAGCACAATAAAGTTAATATAAAGTATTTAACGTTATCTAGAAGCCTCAAAAATTGTTTCCTTTTTATTATGAAAAAGTGGTAAATGCAAGTCTTAGAAATAGCTGCAGCAAAATTAATGGGCCTTTTTGGCTGTTATCAGTGTTCTCATTTTTCAAGATCTTTAGCCACTTCAACTTATTAGCTCTTTCAACCTTTCTATAAAATCAAAGCTTTTGTTATATATTTTAGACGTTTTTTCAGTCTACTGTAGATACGGAAAATGGAAATCTCGAAAGTTTCAAATTTCTTTATTTTAGAGTTTTCAGTGTTTCGTAATTTTTCTTTGTGTTTCATCTTCATTTGGCTTAAAATAATTTTCATTTCGGTCAAGTTGATTATTTTATTTTGCCTACAAAGAAGTGACGAATTTTCTTTTCTTCGTGATTCAGCAATAAAACATGCTTTTTTGAAGGAAATCGTTCACCCCAGCCATCAATTAACCTACGCTGCCAAAATCTTGTGCTTTCCTATACAACATATAGTTTGGTTGCATTAGGTTCAATTGGTTGCATATACTAGATATATAATGTCGTTTTACATGTAAACAAGCCAATACCCCCAAATTTTGGAAGGGAAAACATGCAAAACTTTATTCTATTCCAGTTTCCATAAAGTGGCTAAAAAATTAGCAAATTTAACCACCTAAAATGTGTGTGCCCGAAAAAATAGGAGTTTCAACCCCTTTGGGGGTTAAAAGTGGTCAGTGCAACGGCACAACGAAAAATAGGGGTGGTTAAAACTGGTCATTTTCCTAGCCGCTTTTACTATACTACTGATGTGCAATTTAGAAGAAGTCGTCAAAAAAACGTAGAACAAAGTTACAATCAATGAACCTTTGGTCGTCTCAAATAGCTTTAGCAATTTCAAAAGATTTGAAAGTACAATTGCTTATTGCAAAAGGGCAAAAAAAAGACAAAACGAAGAATTTGAGCATCACAGCTGAAGAAAAGATGAAAGCAACAAAACAATCTTCAGATCAGTTCAACAAGAGACTTTCAACAAACTCATCTTCAAAAATTGAACCCATTCCTAAATGTTCATCGACTACTACGACCAAGATGCGGGCTAGTGAAATCAAAAAAATTTGACATTCGCACAAAAGCTTCAAATAATATTGGATCACAAGCATCATGTCACAGGGATTCTGCTGAGAAACGAACACTTTGAAAAACATTCCGTGGTAATTAAACAATTCAGAAACATGTTTGACGAAAACTACTGAATTGGTTAAGAAACCTGCTAAGAACAGAAAAAGCGATTTGTGTTTCTGGTCGAAGAACTGCTCAGAACAATGAGCACCCTATGATGGCGGATCTACCCGAAAGTAGCATGGACTTCAGTAGACCATTTAAGAACACCGGAGTGGACTACTTTGGACCCTTCAATGTAAAAGTTAATGCAAAACGAGCCGGCGAAGTTTCCCGTAATTTAAAGATCTTTACTGACTCAATGCCCAAAACAGAAAAAACTAGTTGTGTCAATTCTTCCATGAGAATCATGGGACACTGAATTATGCGTCCTAAATACTTTCCTGGAGAAGAAGTTTAGAAAGAAATTCGTAAAATTGCATGTACATCCCGAGTACAAGTCGTACACCGACAGAGCGCATTACAATGAGCTTACTTATCACACCTTTTTTCACACCAGATATTTTACACTTTGATTGCAAAAGAAACTATCTCTATGCAGTGGAAAATGAAATGTTGTGTTTGCAAACCTATCTTTGGGCAACAAAAAGTAACAGCGAAAATTGGCAAAAACAACAAACCCATTAGAGAATACCACCAACAGAAAAAACTAACGAAAAACATTGGTAAAAAGTGTCTCCAGAAAACAAGAACAAACTGAATTAGGAAATAGCAGATTTGAAATGAACATTTGGAAATTCGAATAATTTTGACATTTCTCATTTGAAGATTCATTTTTTAAATTTAATTACTTTATAAATGTAATACTTTATCACGTTTTAATTCAAGTTGGATTGGTAAGGAAAAGCAATTATGAGTTGACTTAAATTAAGTTCCTTATAATGTTTTATCAGAATGCTCCGTTAATTTTTCTCGAAAGAACAAACTTCTTGAAAATACGATTTTTTCCTCCGTTTTTGTATTATCATCTGAAATATTTAAAAAAATGGTTGTAAAGTCCGTTGACGCCGTGACAACTTTGAGTGAGAAGCCGTAATAATTATGGCTAACAAAATTATTGAGTTTCTCAGCTAGAGGTCAGAACTTTTCCGCATCCTAGCCGTTTTTGGCTGAATTAGTGGTAACAAGTGCAAAAAAACCCTGATTGCAAATAGTGGCAATTAAAGAAACACACTCGTTTGAAACAGGCTGGATGATATTTGACAGGTTCTCTGCGCATCACAAAAACCTCAGTTTTTTTTCTACTATTTTTGCAATTTGCAGCTGCTTACAGTTTTGTGAGAAACAATTTGACCGAATTTCTTTTTCCTAATTTCTGTTTGAATCATTGAACGCTCAGTTTCAAGCCAGATTTTAAAGCTTTTTGTCATATTATAATCAGCGTTTGACACAAGATTTAATCGGTTTATATATTTGAGAAACAGCCCATTGGATATAAAAAAAACGCCCAAAAACACTCAAAAGGTTAAACAGAAAAAGCGTTTCGAGCTAAAATGGCAAAAATGGCTAAAAAACGCCCGAACACCTCTATTTTATGCTTGGAGTATCTGTCTAAAATCCAGCTCAAATCTTGCCTGAAACTGGGCATAAAAAGGATCCAATAGACATTTGGAAAGATAACTTACTATCGAAATTCTTTTCGCGAAACTCTTTAGAGATGAAAAAAGCAAAAAGAACAGTTTATCTGTGTTTTTCTGTGCTGCTGTTTGAATCAACATATTTGCTGGTCCAACACCATAAGGCCTAAACATGATCTCAAAAACAACCACAAAACTGCACTTTTTTCCCCTCTGTTTTCTGAAGTCACCTAAATGTTTTTTTTTTTGGGGGGGGGGGGGGGGGATCTGCGAAAATGCCGCGATTTTTTGGATATTTTGCAGGAATGGCGAAAACTGTATAAATGTCTTACCTCAAAAGCAGACTCCAAGTCGAAATTCACCGATAGGTCAGCTTCGTTGCGTATGGTTTCGTCTATCGGCTTTCTGCACCTAGCACAGCGTCTAGGTGTGTTAGACAGCACTTGTTTTAAACACGTCCTCGGTGTTGAACAATATGAGTGTCCACAATAGAGACTTTTCGGGTTTTCTAGCGGTTCGAGGCATATACTACAATCAGGCCTGTTGACTTTGCTCATGTTTCTGAGATTTTGACCCACACCAGGAAACAAAAGTTGGCAAACTCAGTCGAAACGATCAGAATATTACATGAACAGATTAAATTAGAGACACAAGGTGTGTTGATTTGAATTCAGCGCTGAGCAGTAATTTTTCTGTTACCGGAACAAATAAGCGGTGATAGATTATATTGCATAAATTTATCATTAGCTTCACGTGCTTTTTGTTAATGATTTACTATTTTTGCAAATCAGATTCTACCAATGTGTTTTAGAAGCACAAGAAAAGTAATGAAGTTTAGATTGACTACATGAAACTATCTGCTGTAAAAAAAATAGCGTACTATTTATGAATACATATTATGTATTTTATATACAAAATTAAAACGGCATGACTATGGCCATAGCAACAGTGGGTGTTTTAAATAGCGCACGAAGTGTAAAATATGTCTTTCGTAAACATGTGATTTCATCACGAAAAACGTAGCTCTAAAGTGTTGGCTATTGTTTATGTGCTATTCTCAAGAAAAAATTTTCACAAAAAAGAGAAGAAAAAAAGTTGCTGTAAGATCAGAATAGATTATTACCTTTGAACCCCAATGTTTTTGATATTGAAGACTCGAAGCATTTACAAAGAAAGTGACGAAAGCTTTCTACTCAGGCAGTAGCGGATTTTTGAGGGGCGTTTCACCTTTATTCAAAGAATCGCCCCCTTGACAACCCAAACGGTCCTCCTTTGGTACGTTTTTAGGACATCCATTTTTACCTGACTGGACCTAAAATTTTTCTTAAAAGCCTCTCAAAAATTTTACTTAAAAGCCCCATTCTTTGGGAAGAGTCCTACATCCGCACCTGTCTCAAGGTGTTTTTCATACTCCAGATAAATTTCACGTTCTCACCCGCACACTCGGCCCATGGATTTTAATCAATTAAATGGTAAATTTTTATTCTGTTTCTACAAAATTACATAAAAAAAGTGATTTTAGTCTATCATAAACGGAATAATTTTTAAAACATTTTTTTGTCAAAATGATCCTTGTTAATCGGTTGAAATCGATATTTAAAATCGAGAAAGTTTTCTATGAGTTTTCTATTTTTGTGGTTTTTCTAGCCACATAAAATCAATTTTTAATGGGTTCAATCCACAATTATGTTCTAAACTGATTTAGTTCGCCGTTTAGTTAGTTGCTGTTTATAACGTTTAATTACTCTTTCGATTAAGTCATATTTTTTAGTTTCCATAATTTTTTCTTATATCCTCATAACATTCTATTCGAACTCACAGTCCCTCCATGAGCTCACAGTATTTTCCATGCTCAAAACCCAGAAAATAATTGATCTACGACCAATTCTTGCAAAATGTTTTGTTAGCTAATAAAGAATCTACTTACTTTTAAAGAACCTGCCATCGACAAGTAAACAAAACTTGAGACGCCAAAACTGGCGTAAATGAAGCTTCTCAAAATATCTAATTATGTCTTTTTATTGGTCACAATATTATGATTTTTGTCCAGACGTTCAAAGAAAGTGGCGGAATAATTGTGCTCAGTTGACTTTTTCTTCCAGACAAAGTTCGACCTTTTCACTGGCCATTTTTGATTTACTTTTTTTCACTGGCCATTTTCAGTAACACTTGACGCTATCAATGGTTTTAGCTCAGAAGAAAAAGAAAAACTCTCACGAGCGATTTTTTCTGCAAGTTAAGACGTTTAAAAAATATATTTTGACCAAAATGTAACGACTACCGACCGCGCAATATTTTTTTCCTGCGAGGAATTCAGGCAGGGAACTTGGTTTTAATAAAACATTACGTGCCTTTGTACTAAACATATTTTATAGGTGTTTGGCTTGTAAAATGGGGCTTTTATTAATGAAGAAAAAAGCATAGTCGGAACGGAACATTCACAGTTTTGTCCCCATACGAGCAGTCTTTTTGCTTCAACTTTTGAAGATCGGATGAAACGTTTACGCTCAGTGTGGTTTTTTTCTTCAGACAAACTTAAATTTTTCACAAGACAATTTGATGTTTTTATTTTATACCATCCAAAAAGTAGTAACACCATGAGTTCGAACTTCTAAAAGGAAGCAGAACGATCAATAGAGTGCTGTAGAAACTGATAAACAAAGAAGAAATGAAAAATTCTAAAATGAACAATTACGTCAATATGAAAAGTTTCATGAAATTTCGTCATTCAATTTAAGAAACTTTTACAATAAAACGCATTTTACATGTAGTTTAGGCTCTTTCTCCTTTTCTGCCCCACCTCACTGAAGCGTAAGGAACACCAAATATATTATTTATGGCCCAACTAGTATGCACACCAGCGGATTCAGAGATTCGACACCCTGCCGACCCAAAGGGTCTCCCTTTGTACTATTTTGAGATATCCATTTTTTTTCTAACGGACTCTAAAAATTTTCTAAAGGTGCCTTAGGCGCCAATATCTACTAAGTTTGAGAGGGGAGCTCGCGCAGAAAAAGCGCGATTTGTTGGTTAAAAGTTTCCAAAAACTTGCAAAAAATGCCTTTTTTAGCCTGTTTTTTCTAAATTTTGACTGCGGCGCAAAAACAATGTTCAAAAGGGTCTCCCTCGAGAAAATCCTAAATCCGTCCCTCAGTATGCAAGTCAGTTTTTATAACAACCGAACATTAGTCAAAATGTTTTTTTTTAAACTTTTGGAGGTGGCGAAAAAGAAAAATCACTGTCGTTGAATTTTTATAGGTGAATCTGAAACTTGTTTTTATCAATTAGCAAAAGGTCCCGTTTGAGTCATTATTTGTCTGCTATTCTGCTTTTGGACCTCTCTGCTCAAAAAGCTTTTTAACGGTGTTACCTCTAAAAAGATAAGTGTGATCATTTTCAATTAAACTAAGTTGGTGTTGAGAATTCTATTTCGATTCTTGAACTAAATTGTTAGTTAAACAAATTAACAGTAACCCAGATCACAAAGATAGTGTTTAGGCGGTCAACCGCAAAGCCAGACACTCCGAAGGCCAGTATCATGTCAATGATGTTTAGCACCAGATATAACGAGAAATGATTGACAGAAGAGTAAAAAAATAACCTAAAAAAGACTCAAATGACTGATTTAGCATTATGACAATACCTCATTATGGCATTATAAGTGAAACGAAATGAAATGAAATGAAATAAGTTTATAATTGAAATGTACTTGTTTGAAAATTTTGAAACAACTAAACGGGGCCCGATCATAGATCCGAACTGAAATGGCGAATTGAGCTTGGTAAAAAATACACATTTAAGTACTGGCTTTTAGGATTATGTGCGTTTTAAACAAAATTCAATTAATGAGTTGGAAACAAAAGAGTTTTTGTTTTCGACTATCCGTCGACCCTCTCCCTGGGTTATGGTAGTTAAGATCATCTCATTATCTCCCTCCATCGCATCAGCTCCGCCCGTGCCTCGCGTTATATGGTCGATGTTATTTTCTGAGTCTCGTTTGTTTTGTTTCTCTGATTGCCCGCTGTATTGGCTTCGATGTTGTCATGTTCCGCGACTACTGACTCGGTAGCCGCCCGTTACGTATCTTTCCCTTTAATACTAATCGGGGATTGCCACTGCGGTAATGTTGCCATTGGTGAATTTTGCATGATCCGCTTTGACGCAAGCTGTTGCACGTCACTAACCACTTCTGAATCTTCTGATTTGTTGCTTTGCCCTTTCCTGTCGGCAATCGTCATTTTCATGCCAGGAAAAAAAGTTTTGCGGCTACATTCTTCTTTAGTTCCGCAGGCATTGGACTTCTGGTAGTCCCGCTGGAAATAGCTTTTTCGGGGTTCTCGATTTTCTGGTCGCAACTCTGGGTTTATTAAGCAAGCTACGATTGCTCATTTTCACTGTATGCGCGCTTTCGGCTACTATTATAGATTTTAACAGTTTATATCTATTTTTGTTCTTAATAGCAGTGCGCTGGAAAACCAGTCGCGATGATCCGCCTTCGGAACTTGGCCCATGAATTGAGGTTGCTGTCGGCTCATTGTCTTGTTGGGTCGCTTGTTTATCAGTCAGCCTCAAGGAGTAGTTTCCTGCCCTCCCCATACTCAGAGTCTGATCTCACGCGTCAGTTAGTATCCACTGGGTTTGACATTCTTTGTGCCTTCGGATCTTGCTCATCTAAATAAGCATTTTTGGACTCTAGTACATTGGATACGTTTACATTAGTAAGTAACGATTTTTTTGTGAAGTTCTGGAGTACTGTGTTGGCTTCTCTGTCATGATGGACTTCACACGGCATTAGTTTTAAGTTAGCGTTTGGTGAAAACCTGAATGCGCAGAGGGCTATTTTTACCATTTTTTCCAAGGGATCGGCTGTTCCTCACAAGCATGCGTGAGGTGAGTATTGAATTCTTCAAACTTCCGATCGTTCTGTCAAAGCAGAAGGTGGCTCTATGGTCGTTAACCGGCGACTGTATAAAATCAATTCCCTCACAATTACTAAAAAAAATTAACGAACTTAGACGTAAAATTCGTTCCCTGATCTGCTTAAATATAGACGGCACCCCATGATTGTTGATGTAGAACTTCAGAAATTTGAGAATTTTGTCCTCGCAACTTGTATTACTATCGCCCATGACCACATAGAAAACCATTTTACCGTTACCTTAACGTTTTTTGGACTCATTCAAGTAATTTATAGGTCCCCAAAAATTAAAACTGTATTGCCTCATTTGGCTTCCTTGGTTCGGGTATTTTACCTAAGTGCAACTTGGTACACAGAGTTTTTTGGATCATACCGGCAATTATGCACTCCGAAAATTTTCGGCGATTGATGCCTTTTGTTTTTGGATATATTGGTAGCAGATATCCTTCGCCGCCTCGAACAATTTACTCTTGCCGTGGTGATAAGGATGCAGTCGGTTGTTGCCACAAACCATTCCCTCGTATATGAAAATTGTTATCGAACTGCGCATAGTAACGGTTCACTGCATAGACTTTTGAAGCGGTATGGGGATCTTTGGACATAATCATCTCGTAGATCACTTCTAGCTGGGTGCCCGATAAAAATTGCGACTCAAAAAACAGGAGGTTGAACAATTCGGGTAAGACCTTGGTTTTTGAAATGACTTCACTTTTATGAGTAACTAAGTAAATACTCGATTCAGTTGGGGTGAACGGTGAGGGGATTGATAATACGGTGTTGCTCTTCGTACTGTTCGTCTCCGTAGAAGTGTCTTTTAAATTTCTTTCTTTGATCAACTCGTCTACTTCAATTTTGTCACTACGTGCTATTTTTGGATGGCGTTCTAAAAACTTTTGTTTTTCCGAAATGATTTTTTCATGATCCTTGATTTTAAAAAAT